TGCATACAGACTGTTTCAAAAGCTTTGCTTTAGAATGGAAAAGGTACTACATGCAGTCTTCACGGCAAGCAGTTTTTCAGCAGAGAGCATATGAAATGTGGTACTCGTGCAAAGCCACAGAGAGTCACAGCCACTTGGGATCTCAAATGAAGACACTTGAAGAGAACAATCACAATGATGTGTCTGATTGCATCCTTGACACCAGCCATGTGTTTTGAGAAACAATGCTCACCCACCTGCCCTAAGCAGAGGCTACAGGCAGCAAGCCATGCACAAAATACCCAATAAGGCTGCTTTTCTAATTAATGCATAGCTTTGTCACTGCACGAATGAAAGAGGTGGCAGGGTGCTGATTCGTGTGGGTGTGCAATCAGAACAAGGGAATTCAATAAAACCCTGGCTGCTTAACCCTTTTTCCTCTATCAGAGAAGTACAGGATTATCAGCCCATAGTGGAAGACAAATGTACACCGTCATGTGGAAAGGGGAGTGGGTTGAGAGGGAGGCCAACACATGCAAATTCCCAACAGCCCCCTCAGGGTGACTCTAAAACTAGGAGGCAGAAACGGAGTCCCTTCATGTTGTCGGACTCTAACTCCCACCAACCCTTCTCAGCATGCCCAATGCCAAGAGCTTATGGTCTGACAGCAGCTGGAGCCACCCAGATTTCCTTGTCCTGGAACCACTTTCCATAGCGGGAGGGAATAAATTGCACAGGTGTTCAAGGCTTGTACCTTAAGTGACATTCAGTGGTGCAAGCCTGCTTGCTTGTGCAACATGACTTCTCCATCCTCCTCTGCCTCATCTCCCCCCACCTGGGTTTGCAGAGTTCCCCAACCTTCTGAAGCAGATTTTTGGGAGCAAAAAGGGGTTTCAGGTGGGAGGAGAGGAAGAGGAGCTTGTGCCTGCAGTTGTGCATGCAAAAGATTCGAGGTCCAATCCCCCAGCATCTCCAGGTAGGGCTAGGAATGTCCCCCACCTAAAATCCCAGAAAGCTGCTGTCAGTCAGTGTGGGCAACATGGAGCTAAATGGACCGATAGTGTGACTCTGTATAATGGAGCTTCCTATTCCCCTGTACAAAGCAGAAATGGGGGGAAGGTCGGATGAAATATGCTAGTAGATCTCTGAGTGACTTGAAGTAGATTAGCAAGGATTCTGACTCTGAATTCTATGGGAGGAGCCTCAGACAAAAGCTGTAGCCCAGCTTGCTCAATATCAGTCATCTAAACATCCTAGTAGTTGAGATACGACGCACTCAACTTGAAGTAAGAAAGTAAAATGATTGCATAATATTCATGTTGCTGCTCCTTTCAAATGCAAGCTGCATAGCTTGGAGAAGATACAGATTTGTGTTCGCTCAGTTTTATAATATTCATAAAATAAATTCTAGAGTAGTTTAAGTTTTTTTAAAGTTTTTTTATTGTAATAGTTTTTTTAAGAAAAGGAAAAATAAAAACAACTTTTACAAGTCTCTCTTCACCTTGGATTTGGAAAAGGGCTGCAAGATGACTGCAAGGGAACACTAATCCTAGTACAGTGGTACCTCAGCTTACAAATGCTTTGGGTTACAAATGCTTCAGGCTACAGACTCCGCTAACCCGGAAGTAGTACCTCAAGTTAAGAACTTTGCTTCAGGATGAGAACAGAAATTGTGCGGCGGTGGCAGTGGGAGGCCCCATTAGCTAAAGTGGTGCTTCAGGTTAAGAACAGTTTCAGGTTAAGAATGGACCTCCAGAACGAATTAAGTTCTTAACCCGAGGTACCACTGTAATGCATTCAATGGTGTTAGAAACTGTGTTATCTTTTTCTTCATTTTAACTGGAAAAAAACATGTCAGGAATCCCTGCCAGCATCTTCCTCATGGGACAGTGATGTCACCACTGACCGTTGCCATGGAAAGTCAGTTTAGCACTATAAATTTACAAGTAGGCAAAACTGTGCCAGGAGCCTTCTCCAACGTGAATATGGTGATAATTCTGGTTATTCCACACAAGTGCAAAGAGGAGGGAAACCATGGGAAATACTATTCTGAAGGCACAGCCACAAGGTCTGATTTTTAAAAGTTTCTAGCCTTTAGGATTCTAAAGAGGAGTTTCAATGGGTTCACAGTCCTGCATAGCTCCTTGAATTTTCCCATAATAGCAAAGGCAAATGAAGCAAAAGATTTGAAATTGTGGAGTATATTACGAAAATTGTATCAATTTGCAAACTGCGTTGTGATTGCGGAATTCAGCTTTCCTAGGATCAGAATCTGGGTTAACTTGGTGCAGAATTGTTCTTTATCTGGGTAGAGAACTCCAAGCTACAAATCCAATGAGAACAAGTGCAGATCATACAGCAGGTATGGGGACTATAGCTTATTGGTAGAAGTGTGGTGCTCTGCATGCTGCACAAAGATGTTTCCAGGTTCGATCTTGGCATCTCCAGGGCTGAGAACCTCTGGCCCTCCAAACTTGCTGAACTACAGTCCGTATCAGCAAACACAGCCAATGGCTGGGATGGTGGAAGTTGTAGTTCAGCAACACTTGGTGGGCCAAATCTTTCCCACACCTGCATTAAAAGGGTCATGGTGGGGAAGACAGAGAACAGCCACTACCAGCCCGACTGGGCTATGTAGCCCAATGGTCCGTATAAAGCAGCTTCTTCTGCACACCCAGTTCTGGCAACAGTGGGAGAGACCTTAATTTGTTCACTTCCTGAACCACTCAACAAGAACACATCTACAGGAACAAAACGGTAGGCAGCTGTCATTGCAACACACGCCCCACCCCTGCCAATAATTTAAGATAAATGGCGCATATATAAATGGAGGAATGGAAAAGTGCTTCCCCCGGGCTCCTTTGGGAAGGAGGATGCTATAACAGAACAAATGAACAAAAGGTGTGTGCTCTGTACAAAACTTTAAACTCAAATGTAGAAGAATCCTGGTCATCCAAACCTCCATTTTACAACGCTTCTCGTTTCTCAGTTTTCTGCGCATTCCTCGTGTCAGTGAAAGCCTCTGGAAATGCTCAGCAATCTGGCTGAATGAGAACATTATCTAAGCATGCTGAATGTCCTGCAGGCTATTCATGGGGGCGGAGCGGGACAGCGAGTTAGAAAGAGAAATTGTGTGGAGTAAACAGAGGCGGTGCAATGCAATTTGCGGGAGTCAAGCGGAGATTCCTGGTGTGATGAAAACAGGGGCAGATATTATGCAGCACACACAAATGACAAAGGATGAAGTCAGGCTCCCATTATTTTAGAAGAGATCATGGAGGCAGCTCAGCACCTCCCCACCCACCCACTGGATAAGAACTGATATAGAGAGAAACACTAGCAAGAGCCCCCTGTGGTAAGGGACACAGCCACTATAGCCCAGAAACCTTTCGGCTGCTTCCCTCAGCTTTGTAACTGGATATTTTGAAATCTCGCCAAAGAATGCCAACCACTGATTCTATTCAAGGGGGCAGGAGAGGGGAAGAATCAACAGCAAACCCCAAACTCAGCAGGTCACAGTCAGCAGGGCAAACCCCAGGGGTGGAGGGAATCTAAACAGAGACCCAAAGCACCACTCACTGTGGAGATGCTGGTTTCTCAACTAGGTCCCTGAAGCACAGCTGAAACAGCACCTTTTCTAGGCCACAGATTGGACCCTGGGTTCAAAAAAACCAAGAAGCCCCACATATATATTTTTTTAAAAAGTCTTCAACATGGGAGACAACAAAAGTCTAGCATGCCTGCTAGCTTATCTCCATAGCTGTCAACGTTTTCCCTTTTTTAAGGGAAATTCCCTTATTCCGAATAGGATTCCTCGCAAGAAAAGGGGAAAGTTGACAGCTATGCTTATCTCCCTCTTGCCTTGGCCCAGAAGCCCTTCCCTGATCAGCAGGCCCTGGTCAGGAGAGAACAGCGTGGCCTAGTGGTTTGCGTGTCTGATTAGAAACAAGGAGATCCAGATTCAAATCCCCACTTGGCAAGAGAACAATGGATCACCTCAGACCAGTTTCTTGCTCAGCCTCAATCTACTTTTCAGGGTTGTTGTTTTGCGAAGGCCAAAAACGGAGGGAGGGAATAATTGCACTTCCTCGAGACTCTTGGTGGGATATAAATGTTGAGAAACAAACGCTCTGCGGGGAAAATAGCTGCACAAGATCAGGAGTTCTAAGACGTATTTTACAGTTTCCTATAATTGGGTTTATCAAATGATGGTGCCCGAATGGGACGGGGGTGGGGTGGGGGAAGAACTCGTGGTCAAAGCGCACGTTTTTTCCGGTCATTCCTGAAAAATAAATAAATAACCCGAGACTTCAGGGATGGGCAAAAGTTGCCTCCGCCTGCGGGGAGCTACGAGCTGCCTCTACGGCTGGGGCTGCTGGACTATTGCTGCAACTCGGCGCCAGGCCTCTTCCTGCTGTAACTTTCCGACTCCTCTCTCGCGTCCTACGGATGCAGGAGCCCAAGGCGGGCGCCTCCAAGTGCCTCCCCGGCCCCGCAACCGAGGGGCTTGGGCGGGCACCCTCAGGAGCCCCGGACCCTGCGGCGGAAGGGGAAACGCCGCGGGACAAGGCTCGCCAGCGAACGGGAAGGGCTGCGCGCCACGACGCGCCCTCTCGCCATCATACGCCCCCCCCCAACCCGCGATCTTGCCCCACTTTTCTACCACCGCACAGCCTCCCTTTGCAGAAAACGCGTCCATTTTCTGCCCTCCCTCGGGGGCGAGAGGGAAGCAGGCGACTTTCTTTGTTCCGCTCCGCTCGCCCGTCCGGCCGGTCGGCGCTTGCAAGGGAAAAGCCGGCAGGCAACCCCGTCCCGCCCCGGCCGGGCTCTGCAGCGGATCGCGCTGTGCATTCCAGGGGGCTCCGTCCCAAGCAACTCTCCGGGGCTGATTTTATTTCTTTTCAAGTCCCCCTAATGGAACCCATCCCTCGACATCGAAACGCTTTCCCTTTATTTAATGTGTTGTTGTTGTTATTATTCTCCTTTGAGCTAAAAGGCGCTCCCCAGCCGCCGCCACTCACCAAGTCGTGGGGCAAGAGGACCTCGGCTTTGGCTCCATAGTTGGCTCCTGTTGCCGCCGCCGCCTCTTTCTCGGGCTTGAGCCCCGCCGCCGGCTGCTGGAAGCTGATTTTCACCATGGCTGAGCAGGAGCAGCAGCAGCAGCGTCCGAAGCGAAACCCGACGCCTCGTCTGCGCTCGACGCGGCTCTCTGGACCATCCGTCGAGCCCACCCCGCCGCCGGGAGGAAGCGCCGGAAGTGCAGCCTTGGCTCTCCGCCCCCCCTCCCGCTTCTCCACCCCACCCCACCCCGCCTTCGCGGGAGAAGCCAAGAGTTAACGAGGCTCCGCGGACGCGCGTCTTGCGCTGGCGAGCGAGCAGGTGGCCGCTAGAGTCCGCGCTCAGGATGCGTTCCAAAGATGCTCAGGGAAAGCGAGAGAGCGAAGGCTCCTAGCTTCGGAGCTCTACGGTCTCTCTCCGCGGTTGGAGGCAGGGATGCTTGTGAATGATGGTTGCTGGTGGGGCTCAAGTGGGGTGAGTCCTGCTTGTGGGCATCACTGGTTGGCCACCGTGGAAGAACAGGTCGCTGGACTAGACAGGCCTTTTGGCCTCATCTAGCAGCAAGTACTGGTGCTGGAGGAGACTCTTGAGAGTCCCATGGACTGCAAGAAGATCAAACCTATCCATTCTGAAGGAAATCAGCCCTGAGTGCTCACTGGAAGGACAGATGTTGGGAAAGGTTGAGGGCACAAGGAGAAGGGGACGAAGTGCCTGGTGTGCTCTGGTCCACTGGGTCACGAAGAGTCGGACATGACTAAACGACTAAACAACAGAGGCAGTGGAAGACAGGAGTGCCTAAATGACTAAACAACAAACAACAACAAAGCAGCAAGTACAGTATTTGTTGTTTAGTCGTTTAGGCACTCCTGTCTTCCACTGCCTCCCACAGTTTGGTCAAACTCATGCTGGTAGCTTCGAGAACACTGTCCAGCCATCTCGTCCTCTGTCGTCCCCTTCTCCTTGTGCCCTCAATCTTCCCCAAAATCAGGGTCTTTTCCAGGGAGTCTTCTCTTCTCATGAGGTGGCCAAAGTATTGGAGCCTCAGCTTCAGGATCTGTCCTTCCAGTGAAGGAAATCAGGAAATCAGGGCTGATTTCCTTCAAAATGGATAGATTTGATCTTCTTGCAGTCCATGGGACTCTCAAGAGTCTCCTCCAGCACCATAATTCAAAAAGCATCAATTCTTTGGCGATTGGCCTTCTTTATGGTCCAGCTCTCACTTCCACACATCACTACTGGGAAAACCATAGCTTTAACTATATGGACCTTTGTTGGCAAGGTGATGTCTCTGCTTTTTAAGATGCTGTCTAGGTTTGTCATTGCTTTTCTCCCAAGAAGCAGGCGTCTTTTAATTTCATAATTGCAGTATCAAATCAAGTAAAACAATGGAAATAAGATCAAGTAAAACAATAGACATACTTCACTAACGGACCAATCACGTCGGTTCTGTCCTGTCCCATCCTGTCCCCACAACAAAAGTCCAGGCTTCTTCTTTAGTGATCAGTCGTAGTTGAGTAAGATTGTCTTCCATAAAAACGCGCCGGGCTCCGGAGGGTCGCGCAGAGCTGCGCGGAGCTCGGGAGGGCAGGCAGCTCTGCGCAACCCTCCGGAGGCTTCGCGCCGGGCTTCGGAGGGTTGTGCAGAGCTTCCTGAAGCCTGTATTCGCCCCATAGGACGCACACACATTTCCCCTTCATTTTTGGAGGGGAAAAAGTGTGCGTCCTATAGGGCGAAAAATACGGTACATAATAACCAAAATTCCCAGTGACTCCCTCACATAAAATATAATATCTAAATTACAACAGCTGCATAATCTTTTGCATTTCATGGTGAAACCAGAGTTGTTTTCTTTCTAGCAATAAGGACCAGAGGTAACTGAAGAGTGTCCACCCCAAAGCAAGAGGTGGCATATAGAATCATAGAATTGCAGAGTTGGAAGGGACACCAGGGGTCATCTAGTCTAACCCTCTGCAATGCAGGAATATCAGCTAAAGCATCCATGACAGATGGCCATCCAACCTCTGCTTAAAAACTTCCAAGGAAGGAGAGTCTGCAACCTCCCGAGGAAGACTTTTCCACTGTTGAACAGCCCTTATTGTCACAACATTATTTCTGATGTTGAGACGGATATCTTTTGCACTTGGATTTTTCACAATACAAGGTTCAAGGTGCCCTCAAACCTTGTCAGTGTGTGCCACAGTTAGGTCATTATGACACCATCGTACTTAAAAACTCATCTACGCCTATTAATCCAGAAGCAAATAGTAATCTACAGGTAAAGCTCTAGTTAATAAATTTGCAAACGTAAGTATATTTGAGAGTGCAGCACTGAATTCAGAAGAGAAGAAGAGTTTGGATTTGATATCCCGCCTTTCACTCCCCTTCAGGAGTCTCAAAGCGGCTAACATTCTCCTTTCCCTTCCTCCCCCACAACAAACACTCTGTGAGGTGAGTGGGGCTGAGAGACTTCAAAGAAGTGTGACTGGCCCAAGGTCACCCAGCAGCTGCATGTGGAGGAGCGGAGACACGAACCCGGTTCCCCAGATTACGAATCTACCGCTCTTAACCACTATACCACACTGGCTCAGGGATTTTTTTGGCATAGGGGTCCATCTTTGTGCACCTGTAACTGTATCACCTATCCTGAAACCACAGGAAAGGATGGGCCACAAATCTAAATGAACAGACTTAACCCATAGGAAGTTGATTTCATCCTGCCATAAGATAACAGCTATTTTAAATACCTCCTGCAAAAAGGCAGCCATCTGCTTTCTGAAAAAGCAGCTGATGAGTAATCCAGCCTTGAGGTTTCTATGGCAGCCAGTTTCATTGCCTAGGTGATGGAGCATTTGTGTCAAGACTGAACCACAAACCTTGAAACTATGAATACAGTATAGGCCAATTGAAATTTCTTAAGAAAAGTCAATATTTGCTTCTGGACTTGACAGATCTGATTTTGCCTTTGCACTCAACCCACGTAATCACTCAACCTCAGATGTTTTCAGCTCAATAATAATAATAATAATAATAATAATAATAATTTTATTATTTATACTCTGCCCATCTGGGTAGGTTTTCCCAGACACTCTGTGCGGCTTACACAACATATATAATAAGGCTTAAAGCCTTGGATCTCTTTGCATAACTAAGGGCATCAGTAATGTCAGCACCAGTGTCCTAAAGGAAGTGGGATAATGGGGGAAATATGGTTCCAGCACATCTGAATCCTAATTTGAACATTCTGGCAGTCGTATTAAAATCTGCCACACCAAAGGGGAATTTGCCAAATTTCTGTATGCTCAGTCCAGAGGAGTTCAGATCAGTGGCTGGCGGACCTACCTTTGGGGGCCCCTGAAGCTTAAATTACCATGGGGGGCCCTTCGCAACCAGCAGTGAGGTCTGGGTAACCACTCTTAGCTTCTTCAATGGAATTGTTCCTGGACACATCACCACACCTTCACAACATCTGTGTGCTCCTTCATGTGCTCTTAATGTGCGAGGGAAGGTCTTCTAATCTCCATCCCCTGATGTAACTAGAGAGGGACGAATTTCAGTTTCTCATTTTTTCCATCTCAAGATCAGTTCACAGTTCTGCCTCAATCTGCAATGTTAGTTTATTTTAAAGAAATAATCCTTATGAAAATTTGCCAGCATTTAGTCCTAATTTCTCCTAATATATGCATTTTTGCAAACAATTTTCCCCAATATAATGCATTTTATATGTTGTGCTCACTAATACATGCTTTTTAAAGCACACTTTCCCGTAGCATACACATTTTCCTGCAAATTATTTGGTTGAAAAACTGCATCAGAAAATTCTGAGAGGTGCAAATTTTGAAGGATAGCTGTATTTTGGATCACATATTGTTTTGGAAAGTATGATTCGTTAAGTTCTCATTAACATTCAAACCAAACTTCTCCCCCATCTTTACATGCAACTGAACAGATATTCTTCCTTGTCTCATTTTTTGTCGTACAACTGCAAAGCACCAAGCATATTGATGGTGCTATAAATAGCAAAAAATAATGATGAAGAAGCCTTTTCATTATTGCCTTGCCTCTATCGACAAGCATTATGTTTCTCCTGCCCACAAGAATCAGGTTGGAGGCTGGATGCTTAACTCTTCAAACCTTTTTAACAGAAGTGGTTTTGTATTGGATGTGCTGAGTCCAAACTCTTAAAAATCCCAAATGGCTGTATGTTTAATGGCCAGTGCCGGATTTACGTATAAGCTAAACAAGCTATAGCTGGGGCCCCACTCTCTTGCATCCCCCAACATACTTCTTCTTAATTGTATTTCACTATTAATATACTTCTTCTTAATTGTATTTCAGTTCAACAATTACTTTGATAAAATACATATTTTGTTATGTGCAAATGGCTTTAGATACCGATTAGGTCCATAAATTACCATATAGCATATATTCAACACAAAAAACAGTGACAATTTGTTGTTGACAAAGGACAGCTGGACATATAATGGGCCCCCTTACCTTCAGTAGCTTAGGGCCTCATCAGACCTAAATCCAGCCCTGTACGCAGCTACCATACTGGATCCAACATGGTCAATAATTTCAGTTTTGCTCCTGTTTTCAGGGATTGGGCAACTTCAAGGTTTTGTGGCTTAGGGGAAATGAATTTGGAGTTGCTGCCTGATCTCATAATGATCTCGAAATGCAATAATTTTTATGCAGAATAGCCCCACATACAGTGAAAAAGTAACAGTTATACACTAAGGTGTTTTAACTGATGAGAAAACAGACTTGCATGAAAACAGCAGTGAGGTCCTTTAATAGATAGGAGAACCTAACCATACTGAGGAATGGCTGAACAAACAGAGCTAGTCAAAATTCGTGACTAAGCAGGTGGAGTTTGTACCAAAAAAGAGAGGCTGTTTGTGGCCTAATTCTACAGATTTGTAGATCTATAGATTCTTCCTACAGATTTTTATATACCACCCATTCTCACTCCACCCCAAAAGCAATCCATCCATTCCATCCAGCTGAATGGTGTGTCAGAGATACAGGCAGAATATAAGGCAATGACACTTCGTCCACTCAAACGTAGCAGGAAACAAATGATGAATAAATGCTACCCCACTTCTTTTTTGTCAGATGTGCAGCACTGAGATCCCCACAGGGATGGCGCCTACATGAAAAGAGGTGAGAAGGCATTCTGCTTTGCTTACTATGACCTCTTCTCAAGTTACCTAAAG